CGCTGCTCTGTGCAGTGGCAGAGGAAGAACCGATTCTAAATCTGATCTGTTTTCACATAGTCACCGCAAACTCTGCACGTGTCAGTGACATGTATGCAGTATTAAAATGGATATTAACAGTAGCAAAAGAAGCAGCAATGCTAGGATCACAAAAAGTCAGTACAGGTATGTCAGTACTACTTAGATCTTCTGAATTTTGTGATAAATGATCTTCTTGTTGCCTGGGATAATTTTACACAGTGAAAAATAAGTTATTTGGGGCCAATCCCAGCTGGTATCGGGTGAGAGGCTATCACAGGGCTGACATGCAGACAAACAGTTATGTGATCCTAGATGCATGTTGATAAATTAAACATTGTCTTGTCAGAGCAGGTGTCGTTAATAACATTAATAATGGATTTGTTCAAGTCATGTGTCCCACTAAGCTGTGACAGTTTAACCAAAGCAGATCAGTGGATTTCAGCTGCCATTCATTTTACTGTCTACACTTGAGGTTTTTCTGTTGTGTCCCACCAAGTGAACCACAACCGTTTCAAACTGCGAGAAGTGTTGTCAAATAGATAAAAAAAAAATTCTGCAGCACTGAGCCACGAGAGGGCGCCAGAGAGTGATGTAGGCTCTAATCCAAGGCAGATACTGCTCCACAGAAATTCCCTTCTCCAACTGAAATGACATCAGCGTCTCCTCCCACCAAACAGGCCCCGGGCCCACTGCATGCTGAGATGGTCTCTTCACGGGAAGATGTAATACTATGTACGTAATAAATATTTTTATTTGGCGCTACTCACTGATATGCAGTCTCTGCTTCAGCAGTGCTACAATACTATCCCTATTTTTAATTAAGATGACATTAAATATTCAAACATAGTATGTTTATATGTGCTTGTTTCCCTCTGTCTTAGATTAAAACATAGTCTCAAAGTGGCCAAAATATCTAAATGGTGCATTCATGGGCAGAGAACATACTCAGAGATCCAGGCCACCCAGCTCACTCCCTGCTCAGACACAAAAACTGCACCTACAACCTCAGGCACAGCAGGGCGGACAGTATCATCACACACTGAACTACAACAGCTTTTTCCCTCCTGCAGTAAGATTGATGGCAAATAAGAAAATGTGAGAATGTATGTGCAATAACCCCTTACTAAACATGTGCAGTAACCCCTCACTACCTCACCAAGTGTAATGGCATATCCAACTCCACCATGTGAATTACTAAGTGCGATGTTTGAAGTTCACTGGAGAAAATACTATTACCCTATTTTTGTGTATTGCGGTTTTAATGCTTTGCTGCCTTTATGTCATTTTTTTATTTAAAGACTAAGTGTTCCTTCTGGCTTTTGACTCCTTACCTGACTCCACAGGAGAGCTGCACAAGAATTCCTATATACCTAGACTGTCTGTTTATGCATAAATGGAAAATAAAAATCCTGAATCTCATGGAGTTCAAGGCGAGGTTTATCACTAGCAAATTGTGCTTGAACACGCAACAAAGTGGTAAATAGAGTAGTGGTGTTAAGCTGGCAGCCGTTTTATGACAACCAGGTTTATTGTAAGGTAACAGCAGGCAGCCTAAATCACATGAAGCCCTGTGACTGATGACATAACTAGACAAACATCCTTTAGGCCTGACTGAGTTATTAACACCTTCCATTGGCTTGTCATTGATTCAAGTCACGTGTGTAATTGAATGTGAATTGTTGGTCATGTTATTGGTTGAATTTACAGTTGATCAGACAGGGTGAATGCCCCACACTTATTCAGAATATATTCTGGGATAGTGAGCACTGCAAAAGATGGTGATGCGGCTATAGGGATTGTAATGTCAGTCCACCACTTTGGTCGGGAGTCCAAAATGAAATTTCTTATCAGATATATGACAGGCATGAACGTTTACACACATTCATGTTCCCTGAAGGATGAAACCTACTGACTCTGGTGATCACCTTGACCTCCTTGTCTTGGTTTTATCCATCTGAAAATGTTCAGTAACAATAATTTAAAAACTTGGGCATAAGATGTTTAGGCTACATCATAAGTTTGACATGGGGCCGTAGTCTGTATAGAGAATAGTACTCAGTTTTTCTGGCAACACCGTTTCTACAAACATGGTCACAGTGAACCCTCTTCGTTTTTTATTGCATTTTCTCTAGAGTAGCCACCCAGACTGCGAGCTCCATTTCCGGTTACCTGATTGGCCGACAGGGACGTCAATCAGAGGATTATCTGGGTCGGGGTAGGTTGGTTACGGTCTGCAACGCTGAGCCGAGCGGGGCTGTGGAGAGAGCATTGCATTTAAAAACCGTCCTGGCAGGACATCGCATTTACGATCTTATAGTTTTGCTCTTTCCTCTGGAGCTTCTTTCCCGCCTCACGCACGGCTGAGTTTGTCCGGTGCACAATGACTTGGTGGAGGGGAACGCAGCAGCTGTTTACCTGAGCAAGTGGACGCGCTTTCATTGAACCCCATCAAACAATTTTCCTACTCTGACTTATCATTTAACTGCATGCGGCGGACAGCTGTTTTTACTTGTGCATTCTTGAGAGTTTACCTTAAAAAAATCAAGACAGGTTATGTAGGCAGACATTTCTCTCGGATACATCTCCGCCTCGGTGTTTACATGTTGTAATTGGATTTTCCATCATTTCCAGCAGCAGCAGTAGTAGTAGCAGCTCAGGGTTTCTCCCTCCTCCTCCTTCTCCTGTTGGGAACCTTTTTTTGCCGGGGTCGTCCAGCTTGTGCCGTGGCCGGTGGTGGTGGAGAAGAAGATGGGACTACCTGCCCTGGAGTTCAGTGACTGCTACCTGGACAGCCCGCAGTTCAGGGAGAGACTGAAGTCCCACGAACTGGAGCTCGACAAGACCAACAAGTTCATCAAGGAGCTTATTAAAGACGGCAAGGCGCTCATCCAGGCTTTGAAAGGTATGTGAAGGTGGATATATATATATATGTGTGTGTGTGTGTGTGTGTGAGAGAGAGAGAGGGAAATCCATGCTGTCCACACTGACAAGCAGAAATCTAGTTGGGTGCATGTGGTTTTGACAGAATGAGCCACTGGGGGGGTGTTGGTGCTCCAGGTGTGTGTATCTGTGAAGAGGAGATATTTGAGTCTTATCACCGTTACACTGGAATCCTAAGTTTACACTCTTGATGTGAGTGTGTGTGTTACTGATAGGACACAACAGAAGTTAAGAGGTGAGGTGGGTGAATCTGATAAGCAGTGCACACTGTAGTGTTCTTTTAAAGCTATCAGCACGTTTGTTCCCATCAGTTTACATTATGAGGCGGTGTGTGTGTGTGTGTGTGTGTGTGTGTGTGGCCTGAAATATAATAAACTAAAATAGGAACATCTATTCTTTACTGACAACTGTGCAAACTCCTCCCTCTGAGGAAGATTATAGAGCTGCTGAGTGGACCTGGTGATGATTGACCTAACACTCCATATTATTATCAGCTTGATATTTGAGACCAGCTACTCGGTATCCTCTGGAAAGACAAAAGCGTATGTACTCGTACACCATACTAACATTTAGACGGGACAAATCCTGGAAAGTCCAGAGGTAGCATGCCAGATAACCTGAACGTTTCACTCATGTTATCGTCTGTACCTTTAAAAACAAACCGGCTCGGCGCTGTCACCATAAAGCTCTGTCAGCTGTAAAGGCAAGTCTGCATTTGTCTATTGATGATACCTAGAAATCAAACAGCGTGACCTGTCTCACTGAGGTTGGGGCATTGTAGTGCCACCTAACAGAGAGCAAGTCCTGGTTAATCCTTTTAACCAGTATTGTTGGCTTTTGTTGGCGCAGGAGATGAATTGGTTGCAACAGGCCTTTACATTCTAACAGCATTTTGAAGCTACACTGCACTGTAAATCTTCAGGACACTGCCTCTGAGTTTCTTGAAGGTTGTGTGACAGTCCTGGGAAGCCACCATAGTTTTGTTATTTACTAACAAAGAGTTACTATGAAGAGGTTGCTGCAGTTTTTTATTTGTGCAATGACTACATGTTGGTACAGAAGGTGCAAAGTGGAACGTTAACAATCACCATATGCCATGCTACTGAAACTTGTCACTGCAGTGTAAAGACACTTGCTAAAGTTTGAACTTTGCAAATGGAGGAAGGTTTCACATCACCTCAGTTTCACACTTAGAGCAGCTCCGTCCTGTTTGTTGGTGTCAAACTGGTTATGTAGCAATGAAGCATATAGACACATTCAAAGAAATGTGATCTCACACACACACACACACACACAAACTCAGAGATTTAAAAAAAAAAAAACACAAAGTCTTTCTTGAACTTGCCCTTTAGAGCTGTACAGAAACTGAGGTGACAGATGCATGGATACAAATGTGTGTGTCAGCCAGATGTCATTTTAAGGCCAGGTCTAGCTTGTTATTACAGAGTTTGTAGAAATGTCTGGATCCCTGCTCCACCTCTAACATGACATGGCTCAATCAGACAAAGTAAAAAACATGGTAATCTCTGTCAGATCACTCAGACATGTACAGTACATGGAACGATCCATGAATGAAGTAATAAAACAGTCCTTGAACCTGTAACCATATATCCAGTACATATTAGTAGGCTGGAATCCCAGGGCTAGTTTTTCACAGTGAGGTCATTGTCTGCTGCACTGACACTGCTGCTTCCTGCAGTTAGCCTGAAAGTCATCTTGCTGTGCCATTAATCACATTGTTGTGCACACACACGTTTGTGTTGCAGTGAAAGCATGATCTGTCATTCTTCCACACAAATCATTTTCCTTAACCAATTGGGTCTGGAAGCATGAAACGGGACGAATGCAGCTGGCTAGTTAGAAATGTGTGAATGTGTAGTTTGTGCACGTGTTTGTTGTGATGTGGAGCTCCTAAACAAGTGTTTTGCCTTGTGTGGACTGTGTGTGATTAACAGTGTGCAGACAGAGATTGCGTATCCTGACCTTGAACAAGCTAATGCGATGATGCTACCCACTGTGGTTCAGTGGGTAGAGCAGTCGTCTCCCAACCGGAGGGTTGGAAGTTCGAATCTCGGTGCCTGCAGTCCACGTGTCGAAGTGTCTTTGGGCAAGACACTGAACCCCCAAGTTGCCCCCGATGGTTAGATGGTGAGTTGGCGCCGTAGATGGCTGCCTCGGTTCTGTACCGGAAACAAATTCCTTGTGTGTAACATACTTGGCCAATAAAGATAATTATCCTGATTATTAACATGTCAGGAGGACAGATACATACAGAGACAAAAGAGAAAAGGAGGAAACAAACTAAAAGGCAAATCAATCATCATGAATTGAGTATTGTTTCAACAGGTATGGACCCATCCCATCTTTGTACTGATACCAGGATATCATCCTGAAAAGGTTGTTTTTTTTTTGGCATTTTGCCTTTATTGAACAGTTGACAGTCTAGAAGGACACGGGAAACAAGGACAGTTAGAGGTGTAACAAAGGTCTGCCAGCTGGAAATCGAACTGTGGACATTGCCGTTAACAATTAGGCCCTGGAGTGGTTTCAAAATAATCTTGGTTTATTGACAGCTAAGGCATAAAAGGAAGTGTGAACAAAACTGATTCAAGTGTAAAGTGTTTAGTGACTGTTTTTAGCTCTATGTAATGGTCATAATGGACAGATCAGACATAGTCAAATCAACAGTGTCTGTAGATAGTGTCATTCCAAACACAGAGCAAAACTAAAAGAGTTGCTGTTATATGAAAATGAAATAGTAAACCTGAAAGACTGGCTAGCCTTAGAAGTACAGTGCAGACTATATACCAGAGGCATGACGCTAAAAGTTTGTGCATTGTTGAGGCATGTGTGCAGCCTGCGGCAGGCTTAAAAGCAGCCTTTCATCATTAATGTTGTCTTGATGTCATCTTCTTTCTCAGGTCTTTACTGTGACTTCAGATTGAAGCTGAAGTATAGAAAAGAGAGGCCAAAAACAAATATTTTCTATAGGAGGGTGACGAATGAACATGCTGTAAGGAGGCTAAAAGAGGATTTTATGGGGCAAAACTGGGAATCAGTTTACAGAGAGGAAGACTTAGATAAAGCATATGAGCAATTTTTAAATATATTTAAGAAAGTATATGACAGGAACTGTCCTCGTAAGCAGTATAAAAACAAAAGGAATTACAGTGGGAAACCGTGGATGAGTAAGGGATTACAGAATGCATGTAAAAAAAAGAATGTGTTATATAAGGAATTCATAAAGGACAGCTCAAAGAAGGCGGAAGAAAAATATAAGTCATATAAGAACAAATTAATTGAGATTTTGAGGAGATGTAAGAAACTATATTACTCTAAAGTATTAGAGGATAATAAAAATAACATGAGAGGTAAGTGGAATATATTAAATAAATTGATTAGAAACAGTTCCAGCAAGAGTAACTACCCTCAATATTTTAGGGATAATGATACACCGGTCAATAGATTGGAGGATGTAGTAGATAAGTTTAATAGGTTCTTTGTGAATGTGGGTCCTGGTTTAGTAAGAAGCATTTGTACAGATGATACATCCATCACTATAAATAATAATACAATCGAAAGGAACAT